AGCGGAAGTTGCATAACAGGAGTGGTGATAGAAGAACTAATTGAAATATTTAAGTCCATAAGACATCTTCTAGCCACAATCGCTATGGAAATAAGAACCAAACCTTCAAAAAATAACAAGCATGATGCTACAATAGGTTGACATTTTGAATCAAGCTAACGGCCTTGAACCCTAGCTAGAGCAAGAACCATGAATGGATGAATAAAAAGATGGGAGTTATATCAAATTAACAATCAATTTGCAAAAAAAAAAAAGAACTATCTTAAATGTTTGATTATTTGGCAATAACGTAAAGATATCAAGGGATGACAATTCAAAATATAGTCATAACAACCACACCACAACACGTTTTTCAAATGTCAATATCTTTAGGTAGCGAATGAATTTGAAGTGGGGGTGATTTTACGAAGCAAGATAAAATGAGAAAGGCATCAAGAATAAGCAAGAAGGTATTGAGAACAAAAAGTAGAATACTTGGTGTTGTAAAGTTTTCACAAGGAAAAAACTGCAAATTTCATCCAATTTATTGTACTGATTAGTTACATGTCGGTTAGTCACATTCTGTAGCACGAAAAAATTTATTGGCTATCAAATTATCTATCCAGCATTGAAAAAGACTTCAGCCAAATCAAGCAATACATATAATAACTCTCTATATACCAGTAAAGCAAACTAAAAAGAAAAAAGGTCCTGCAATGATCCCACAAAAAAAATTCATGATTTTAGATACTACTAAGGTAACCATTTTTAAGTGCTTCATGTTTGGGCCACCTCCCACACCTATTGTGGACTATAGATACGGGCCTTATTTAAGGTTTGGCTTTCCTTTATGATGATGATTGGCTCATTATTGATGGTAGAAATAGGCAATTGAACCTTTCGTAGCGCATTATGAATTGAATGAGCTGTCTAAATGAGAATGTCTAATATAATCAAATCCATCATCAAATTATTATGTTTCTAATTTTATAGTGGATTGTGCACTTCATTTAAGAGAAATTACAGCCAAACTAGGTGACCACATCATTCTTTATTATTTTCCAGTCTGTAGAGGTTATTCTTGTGGAACCCCATCTCCAAATTAAAGATCTAGCATATCTAGAAATTTAGCTTATAATTCAGGCGACAATAGATTTTTATGAGAAAGAGGAACAGGGTGACCTTGCTCTCCATGGCGTGCATCATGCTGGAGTCAATGGAGTCCATATCAGTGTCCAGGACGCATATTGAAGTTGGATTTCTGAGCTTCGTCCTTAGCCATCCCCTTATCCTTACTAACCTCTGCACCATTAGGCCTTATACTTTGCCAAACTCTTCCTTGACCATCAAAAGGAAAACTTCACCTGAAGCTTATTAAAATCGAAGTTTATGTCATCTAACTTACTCATCCAATCTGCACCCATTAACACTTCACTACCTCCCTTCGATAACACCGTCAAATCCACGAGCGTGCTCACCCCTTGGCGACTCAGCATCACGCTTCTACATACATCCGATCCGAGGCAATGATTATATCTCCAGCAGCTATCATGGCGTCAAACTCGTTAGGTTCCTCCATTATCAAGCCCAATTGCTTCACCAACTTAGCGTTGACGTACACCATGACTCTAATGGTGTGAGCAGCTGGTATGCCACAAATAGCATCGACGCCGCATTCTTCCAAGATTCCTTCTAAATAAATAAATAAAGTTCTAACAGCATTGCCAATAAAACAGCCTCTTTCAAGCACAGAAGGCGCGACTGCCATGGCCTCGATGAATTTATCAATTACAATCTCCCTCACTGTATTCATTCTTGTGTGGTATCAATGGGAACCGAAACCAGAAAAGATCGCTTCTTTAAACGCTCCTCGCCTAATACAGTTCTCCGCATAGATGTTCAAGCAATGATACCACTGCAAACTGGTAAATCAAGGTTTAAAGACTTGGGGCTTCAATTAATTCACGCGATTTTGGTTACCAAGAAATGAACTTTCTCTGCATTCTACTGAATTTCGATGGGGGGAAACTGGGGATTGGAACTGAGGTACCTTGATTTCTTCTTTGCGTCCTTTGAAACCCTAATTTCTCGCATCAAAGCCTCGAATTTAATGGTCATTGTTGATTGTAGCGCGTACATTCTTGCTGAAACCTCCCGATTGAAATGTTCCTGCTTAAGAAATCGCGCATCATGAAAAGGCCCGGGAGGCGGGGCGGGGGGGGGGGGGGGGGCTAAAAAAAAAGGGGGCGGAAAAAAAAAATTAAATTTGGGATAGAAATTTGAGGTTTTTGTTGGGGAATTTTAGTTGCCCCGCCTAATCTCTACAACTCAGAAGCCAACCCACGATTATAAACATATAAACTAACCACGACCAGTCAAGAAAAAAGAACATCCAGATTTACAAAGATTTACATGGTTCGATCAATCAATTTCAACCTATGTCCACGGGTAATAATATAATAAATCCACTATGTATTAGGGAGAACTACGAGAGAAACAACTAAACTCTGATCTCTTACATACATAATCAACTCTCATATTCTCTTCAAAACTCACTCTTTACAATCTTTTAAACAGACAAAGACTGCGAAATCATCTCCTAATATTATAATCTTTTGCAAAGATAAAGATCACGAAACCCTCGCCTCTTGCATAATATTCTTGAATCAGCCTACACCCTCTACTAACACTATAATAAAGGAATATTCGCTCTCTCCCTTGACCTTGGTTTTTCTTCCAATAATAGAAGAATATATATAGGGAATCCAAAACCCTATATCTAGCCTAACTTTCTAATTAGAATATAATTTAAACTCCTATTCATGATGTGACTCAATCTCTTAATCATGATAGATCTCTAACTCTATCTAATTCTCATGAAGTTATACAAAGAATCAAAGACACAATCCTAACAGTTTTTGGGGTTTTATTATGCCCTAGCATGGAGCTGATTCAAAAATTCAGCTGCAACTTATATGGCACGTGGCAACATCTCAATAGAGCACTAAAATCATTTATGGAAAACTTGGTGTGTTTGGTAATCGAGATGTTTGTTTTTGTTGTGTTTTTTAGAAAAACACAATGCCATGGTGTTTTTTTTAAACATGTTTTGAAAACACCATTTTTAGTTATTATTTATAAAACGGCGGCGGCGGCGGGCGGACGACGGGCGGGCGGCGACGGCTTAGATGAGAAAACGAAATCTCAAAACACCTTTTTGGTGTTTTGAGAAAAGTGTTTATTTTTTAGATTTTGTAAAGGGTCAAGTCAAAAAAACGTCCCGGTTGCCAAACGTGTTTTATTATTTTTGTTAAAAATAAAAACAGAAACGACAAAAACGTCACGGTTGCCAACCGCTCCCTTTAATAAATAAGCAGCGTTATGATTTGTAACTTCATATTATCAAGTCTTACAAATTAGAAGCCTCAAAATGCATAATAAAATCACAGATTTGGTAAGTTCCTTGGGACATTATTCACGTTGGCATCTCGAAAAATACCATCTTTATTTTACACGTTTTGAAGGATTGACAGTCTTTGCTGAACCAACTATCCAATAGATAGGGAGCAATAAACAATTTCTGGAAAATGCTCAAAGAAATTAAGCGGCGTGTGGGAATATGGTGTTGGGTGCAAACTCACGAACCGGGTCACACGTAAATATTCATTCGGCACAATAATATGGTTTTTTTTGCCTTATTTAGATAAAAAGTTTAGACTAATATTTATGCATGATTAATGCCCCGGGACCTCAAATAGAGGACCTAAGAGGGAGAGAGGTGAGATGTCACCCTCCGATTGGATGATACACTATTCATGAACAATGCATCATCCAACCGGAGGGGGACATCTCACCTGTCCCCTCTTGGGTTCCTTATTTGAGGTCCCTGTAGAAGCGCCCTTTATGCATTTGTCTTTCTCCAGTGTCCGGCGATTATATGAGAATTATTGGGGAAGATGAGGTGTGGATATCTATTATGAGTTGTGTTATACGTAAAATACATGGATTGGGAATTAGAATGAGTGAATGAGAATATGACACCTCACTATTAAGCATAAAATTTATACTTGGTACCAACCATACCCATTTTTCTTTTGTTAAAAACTTAATATAAACGTATATTTAATATTAGTTGACTCTAATACCTCATTTAACATCTATCAAAAATTACTGAACGACACATTTAATACTACACAGAATTCTTTACAAGTTTAATAGTATTTTATAATGAATATGGTAATTGTTTCATATCCTTTACACCAGAGCTAACTATATGAGTTTATTCTCACATATTTCATTCTCTTATTCTATATTTAGCCTACGAGGGAAGAATTTTATGATAGAGATCGAAACTCTACATGAATCCCCAATCATTATAGCTTTGTGATCTTTTATAACTTTTTTTTGGTTGTTCTGTTTTTAGCAAAGAGTGTAGCTCTAGGTAAGACCTGAGGAGCTTCCATCCTTTCTTCTCTTATTCTATATTTTTTCAACTCCGACGCCATATAGATCTTAAATTTGATCGGAGTTACTATTCTGACCTGGACTAATGGGATTTTTGACCGGAACAATAACTAAATTAGGCCGAAACAGTAACTCCGGCCAAATTTAAGGCCTATATGACACCGGAGTTAAAAATATATACCAATCTGACAAAACTAAAAAAATATATACCAACATGTCACCAAACCTCGAAAAAATATATCAATCTGGCTATTTTGCCTAAACTAAGGTATTAATTATGGCCAGGAAGGGGAAACGAACTTTGGGAATTGTTTAAACTCTTTACTTGTGATAGTTTGAAAAATAATAACAAGACGAGCTATATTTAGTTTACACGTCTACTCAAAATACGTGATAAACCCTGCTTTATATGATTTTCAAAATTCTATTCAGAATAAAGAAAAGGAAAGACATATTTCGATGTCACAATTTTTACATGATTTTCATGTTCTCTCACCTATGTAACCACTCGCTTAAGAGACACAATAACCCCCCCCCCCCACCCCACCCCACCCCAACCAAAAAATCCACCAAAATTGTACACAAGCACCTTAGATGAAAGTTAATGACTTTGTTTCACGTACATACGCCTGTAAATTCTTGAACCTTCTAACTCTGCATGTATCTCTCTTTCAGTGCGTATATTCATTGGATTTTGTAACAGCCAACCCTCTTCATCGCAAAAGAAGTTTTGGTTCACAACATCGATATGCTTGAAAACGTCAGAGAGTGAATCAAATTGAGTTCTCATGTCAATTGCCACTTCCTCCACATCTGATTGCATAAAAACCTAAAACATAGGAAGAAACTTACAGATTAACAGTATTGCAATCTACAGTTAAAAGAACACAACAATAAGAGGGGGAAATAAGATGCAAATCTCAGATTTCTAAATCTTACAAAGAAGCGTCAAAACGCATCATTTGGTGGGTTCCTGGAGACAATTATCCCAAGTAGTGTCTTTAAAAAAAAAACGTAAAGAAAACACGAAAACACACCGAGGACTGTTAGAACTGGCAGTCCTTGTTGAACCAGCTATCCAAGAGATGGGGACCAATAATTAATTTCTCTTAGAAGCTGGGGGAAACTATGTGGCTTAAGTTGTTTAGACTGCATAAATACAGCACAAAGTGATTAAGCGCATGATTTGGATGCCCATTTAGATGGCCTTTCGCAGCATTTTTTTGGTTCTTTTTCATCCTTCTATTTATGGATGATAAAGCCCAATAGGTAAATATGATAAAGAGTACAGAGTGACAAGGATCTATTCAACTATTGGCCCAAATATTACTTAGAAAGTTAAAGATAGACCGAGTAGAATATATGAAGAGGAAAGATGAAATGAACTTCAACAAAGTGATGACTGAAGAAAACAATGTTATTGGGATATATTGAATATGGAAATCAGATGCGTAACCAAAACCCAAACCTGCCATCTTTGATTTCAGTGCAGTACATGATATAGGTTAACATTGGTTGGAGACTAACCTTTTAAGTTATTAAAAAAAAAGGTTATTGGTTAAAGTAGAAGAATGTAATGCATGACAATATGAGATAATAGATATCAAGAAATGTACAAATTCGGGTTATCAAAAGATGATATCCATAATTGGAATGATTTCTACTCCTTTGCGGGGAAAAGTAGAAAATACGGCAACACACTAGTTGAAATGTATACCTGGCCTCCTGTCCTCAAAATTTTCGAGATAGAATCCACTAATGGCTTTTGCAAAACTCTTCTCTTATGATGACGCTTCTTGAAGTGGGGGTCTGGACACTGGAAACAATGAAACAAAGCATGAATTATATCTATAACAATAAAAAATCTACTCATATGAATCAGGACACAACATTTATAGAATATAAAACACTTTTCACTCGCTCACCAGTATAGAAACAAATGTTAAAGGTCCTGGGTAAGATGAGACCAAGTGTTCAAAAGATATAGTGGCATTTGCAGACATGAAATGTCTGTCCAGAGAAAACAGTTTGTTAAGCGCCTCAGCTGTTCGCTATCCTTTCTTACATTAAGGGAGTGAACAAAAAGATCTCACATGTTTCTTAGAGCTAGGTCTTTGACCCAGAACTGTGCACGCTGAACTAACTGCACAAACAAAAAATGTAGTTGAGTTGAGATAGCCAAAAATACTTGATCCAAATTAAATCAAGGTGATAAGATTTTAGATATAAATAATTTGTATAAATAATTACTGAAAAGTAGGATTTCTGTTTCAAACCTTCTGTCGAATTTCTAGTCCCAAATAGTTCATTGACTCGCTGGAATTTTTTGCTAACCAAATGAGGAATCTGCCACTACCTGGGAATGTTGATAAGTTGATATGTTAGGACCACTTGATCACTTTAATGAAGTGCTCCCATTAATTAGCTAGTCTTAACCAAAATTGTCGCCTTTTTCTTGCTCATATTAGTTGAAAAGACATGTTACAAGCATTGTGCCAAGATGGGACACAAAAGTTGATATGATACGACATGGATAGTAGATGAATAGTCCCACAAAGATGTGGAGATAGGTAAATGTAAACATACATGTATAATATCACCATTCCATATACATTAGAATTAAAATCATATAACTCTTTCAAGCTAATGTATGAAGCTCTACTATAACCGGAAGAATATTGAAAAGAAGTTAATGAATGCAACTCCTCTTTTATAATTCTTAATGAAGTTTTAAAAAGCCTCCACGTAGCCCATCTAGGCATACACCTAGGCGGCTACGCCTACGTGATGCATTGGCCGCCTACCTAGCGTCTAGCACCTAGGCGGTACCTAAACTGCCTACCTATATTTTGGGAGTGTCTAGGGGAGCATGGTCTGCCTTTATGGATCGCACCCTTCAGACATTGATTGTGATTTCCTCTATTGCAGTCTCCACGTCCTCCGACCTCCTCCAAACTCCAACTATGAACACCCCTTCTATCTCTCCCAACCTTCAACAAATCCTTCACCACCACTTAAGAAATCTGTCTAGGTGTCAATCCAACGCCTAAACTTTCTAAAACATCGGCATTTACTATCAGTAATTGTAATTAAACTAAAAAAAGGAAAACGCCTGGTCCCCGCCTAGACTTCCGCCTAGGCTCTAGGCATCGGGTTCAACGCCTAGCCCACCTAGCACTTTTTGTAACCCTGATTCTTAATATATATACAATTTACTCATATAAACAAAGTTTTAGATCCATATAGTATGCATTCTCAATGCATGTTCTCATTTTACAATCGAAAGCAATAGCCCAACACTGACAGGTTGAGATGGTTTGGCTCCATGCACAATGGAGATTGCTAAATGCCCAGCTAGGCAAAGTGATAAGATTATAGATGGGGAAAGAAGGACTAGAGCTAGGCCTATGATAATTTCGTTAGATGCAATTAAGAAGAATATGACAATGGTTAACTCAACAAAGTAGATATATCTTAACATAACTAAACATTATAGAAGTCATGTAGCCGATCCCCAAAATTTGGAATGAAGTCTTTGTTGTTATTGTTGTAGTATAATATGCCGTTCCAAAATTGCTGAATGTTCCCTGTTTCTTGTGCCAACTACGGTATATGTGTCAGCTATGTTATCTGGGTACTTCTACCATGAAGCCGTATCCATATCTGACACATCCCGCACAAGTAAACTCCACTTCTTGGACGCTCATTACATATGTACACGTTATATTTAAAACACTCGTCAAATAGTTCTTAGACATTTACTTTACACTTAGACATCAACTTATAAACTTGTTGAACAAGGGTCAGATTCGTTTCAGTCCATATTCAGTTAAAATTACTGTTTCAAAGGGTTGGTCCCATATCTAGCTCGGAACTATGATTTCAGCCTATGTCGTTTTAGCCGTTTCCCCGTACCATATCATTTACAAATTTGTCGTTTCCTGTATCGTACCCATACTGGTACCCATGCAACTTAGTGTGTCACACATCGGTTCCTATATCCACAAGCTCCAACCTTTTACATAGGACATCTGGTAACTATGGTCACAACACAGCCCAAGTACACCTATAGAAGGTTGCCTTAGTCAGTGTCAACCCTCGAGATAAACATCAAAATTTCCATTTCTTTGTTGATCTTAATTCTCAATTGGGGGAAAAAAAATTTAAACACGGTGGGCGAAATCATACCACATCCAATATCCACCATGAGAGGCAAAGTGCAGTCCTCAAACACTTCCTTCCAGTCCGGCGCCGGTACAGGTTTCTGCACAAGTCCCAAAATTATAAATAACCAAAAAAAAATTTGATCGTTATAATCACAAAGAATGAAAAAAGTTTAATAATGGGATTAAAATTAGAAATCCAAACTAGACTTACCGAGAATGAAGAGCTGAGAGGGTTGACATGTTGCCGGATGCGCACATGACCCAACTGCGCCATTAACAATTTAAACAACTAATAGTTCCCCAAGAAATCAAATAGAAATTTGCAAAATGGGTACTAATAAAAACAAAATTACCTGAGAGCTTCCGTACTTTTCCTTGAGGTTGAGGTCGGCATACTCCAGCTCCACAAGGCTGGGGCTTTTCACTGCAGCGCTGCCGCTTGAGCTTTGATATTGACGCCCATTTCTTGTAATTCTAGGGTTAGGGTTAGGGTTAGGGATGAGATTTGGTTTTAGGGTTAGGGTTCCAAGAGGAGCGGCATAATTCAAACACCACGGTCGGCAATATCCAAGCATCTCTCTCTCTCTCTCACTGTGAACTGCTCTTGTTGACCTGCTGCCATGGAATTTTGTTCTCTAAAGAGTTAGGTTGGGCCGATATAATAATGGGCCCAATATATTTATCCAATCTAGATCAAATTTCGCGGTTTGACGAGGGAGTTTCCCAGGATCCATTGGGCCATGCGTATTAAATTAAATTTCTAAAAAAAATTAAATTTCTGTGAATGCTTCTAACTTGAGACATTTGAGACGAGTATTTATATTGATAGTTTATTTATTTATTTCTTCTTGGAAATGAGTAGGGGTGATCAAGGTTGGTGCAAACCAATTAAACCAATCGAGAACCGAACGAATTTTGATAGTACAGTATGGTTTTAGAAATATTTTCGGTTTGGTCTGTATTAAAATATTAGTCAATGTGTTTTTTTTGTTGTGTTTTTGTAAAAAAAATACCATGCCATGGTGTTTCTTTTTCAAATGTGTTTTGAAAACACCATTTTGGTCAAACTAGTTTGACCATTTATATAGCGACAGTGAACTGGTGCAGAAACGGTGACGCGCGGCTCGGGGGCGGTGTGGCGGCCGACGGGCGGCGTTGGCGAACGACTGATTGTCGCGTTACCGGCGGGTAGCGCGAAGTGGTTAGCGGCAGGGCGAGGGGCGCGGCGGCAGTGGCCGACGGGTGGCCGGAGGGCGGCGACGGTGGCAGCGGGTGGCCGCGTGGTCGGCCGAACGGCGGAACGCGGTTGGGCGGTGGGCGACGGCCGACAGGCGGCAGGCAGTGTGAGGTGGAGGTGGCCGGCAGTCGGCCTGACGGGCGGCGCGCGGCGGGGCCGACTGGTGCCGGCGGCCGCAGCAGTGGCGGCGTGGTGAAGTGTGGGCTGGCGGCCGGCTGACGGCGAGGCGCGGCGGGGCCGGGAGCGGCGCGGGGTGGCGGTGGTGGCGACGGGCTAGGGCGCAGGCGGCAGGGCCGGACGACGGCGCGAGCCGGTGGTCGCGGGGTGACGGCAGCCCGGAGGGCGGGGTCCCGTTTACCGTGAGAGTGGCGCTGCCGGCAGCTACGGGGTGAGCGGGCTGCGGTGCGCTTAGATGAAAAAACGGAATCTTAAAACACATTTTTCGGTGTTTTGAGAAAAGTGTTTAATTTTTAGATTTTGTAAAGGGACAAGTCAAAAAAATACCCCGGTTCCCAAACGCGTTTCTTTGTTTTTGTTAAAAAAATAAACAGAAACGACAAAAACGCCACGGTTGCCAAACGCTCCCTTAATGGAACAAACCATTTTCAACATGTTTGCCTAAAATTTATGCTTGTTCAAGGTGAATAGATAACTTGTACTAATATTTTTAAATATCTTAATTGATCAACATTTGATTTTAGTTTATAAAATCATTAATTTGATGTGTTTTTTTTTTCTTCAGTTTGGGATGAGATGAGTGAAAAACGTCGAAGGAGTAATAGGTTTTGTTTTTTAGTGAAAAATTCTCTAACTTTACATGTCTAAGGCCAAAACCGAACTAAACCACGTTGAGCTGATATGTCATGGTTCAATTCTGTTTTGAATCTAGCTTAGTTCGATTCGGTTTGACAAGAAATAGTCAAAACTGACCGAATCAATGGTTCGCTC